AAAAAAAAAAACAAAAACTCTGTGTGCGCGCACACTAACAACACGGCACCGGGTGCCGCGTGTCACGTACCGCGTTGCGCTTACTGCCTGCCACTCATAACTGTCACTTAATCCTTCACGTCTGTTTATTATTTCTTCGGATGTGTTTATTTACTTAACATCTTTACTCTCTGACACTCACATGCGTATTCACACACACATATATATATATACACATTGCCTCACACCATGGCCTAAATGATGTTTCGTTCACGCTTTTCTCTCTTAATTGTTGATTTTGCTTAACCCCCCTATTTATCAAACGGGGCGTTGTCTCCACCTCTCACGCCCGCCATTAAAATATCATTTTCATTTCATTTAACACTCATTTAATCAAAATATTCTCCAACCCTCACATTTGTTACGAAAACACGCTCACATTTCCGCATGCCGCATGACACTTGCCATATGAAACACATCTCATGCAACAAAATTGACCCCTGCTCCCTTCGCGCCTTGAATAATGTTGTTGGCCCACACGCCCACAGGTCATTTGGTTCAAAGACACCATGCAGCTGGACACCACCGAACGTCACATTATGGAGAATCGTGGCTCACGTCACACGCTGATTATACGGAAAGTGCATCCCCAGGACTTTGGTAATTACTCTTGTGTGGCTGAGAACCAACTTGGGAAAGCACGAAAAACTTTGCAATTGAGCGGGAAACCAAACGTAGCCGTATTCAACTCGCCACCAATTAGTCAGTACAAGGACAGGTAAGTGGAGCGTAAAACATTTTAATAAGTCGAATTGAATGTGTGTATGTATGTAGGTACTATTGTATGTAAATTGTATGAACACTAAGAAGCACACCCACTACGGAATATGAGTTTGTAAACTTTTAAAAATATCTTGATTTTGTGCACTTAAAGCAACAATAAGAGAAAGAAAAAGAAAGCAACAAAAGTATCAGAAAAACACTGTCCACAGAAAAGTTACCTTTTCTATAAATTTTTCGTCATATCTTCGGCAAAAAACAAAAAGATTGCCGAATGTACATAAATGACTCCGAAAAAGGTAAAAAGGCGACCTTAAAATCTGTCAAATTAATAATTACTTTTTTTTCGAAATTGCATTGCAAAAATAACTTAGACTATGCTTGCAAGGTGGACGGACGGACATGAAATAAATTGAAATTAGGTTGCATGCACTTGTTTTTTTCGAAGAAAAAAAAACACGTATTAATGAAAATCCAATTCGTCTGATGGATTCCACCTGTTTGAAAAGTCGAATTTGTTTTACTTATACGAAAGATACATAAATGAAATATCGCAATATTAGTGTCAAACGAAAGAGTTTTTAGAAAACTATAGGCTGATAATATTTTCAATTAGAGTTGCCATCATGAGAAGTCAAATTCAATAACTGGGATTCTACATAGCCGAGCACAGGTTTTATTTTTTTAAGTTACAGGGTGATTTGAAATTTGATGAAATGAAAACCGACACCATGCGAGACCTCTCGTCACTGAGAAATGGTTTAGATTAATTATTAGGAATATTATTAGAGGTTTTTGGATAGGGTTTCAAAAACTAATTAATTAAATGTTGGCGTTTTGACGCCATGCGGGTTCACTAATATAAGTTTATCTCATTATGTCTAACTGAACATGAGGATGTTTGGGGGTAGACCGCCTCTGCTTACCATGTAGCTAGCGGTAGATTTCGGAAAGGGGAAACAAAACTATATTTAATACTTGCCAACTAAGACTTCTAACTTGTTCTTCTACTAAGGTTTCTTTTTTTCATTTTTCACCTCTTTCTACTCACTTCATCGACATAAGGTAGAATCTACCTAAAATGGGGTCGGCCGCATTTATGAGATAAAATACGAATGAACATAAAACTAAAAAGTATTTAAAAAAAAAATAACCCAAGATCAATTATTTTACGTACAAAAATCAGGTTGGGAAATGTAATGTAAAGTAATCGAAAAAATAATCAGTGAAACAGCCGCTTTCACATTCGAAAATAGTTTAATTTTTTCATACCGCGATGTCTTAAGAAAGGTGGGTCATTAAATTTAACGTTACCTAGTATCGAGGACAGTGTGTGTGTATTTTTTGGAACCTTTTTGATATATAAGAACGCTGATTACATACTAAACAGTACTAGAATCTCATAAGAAATACATTACATTATTTTCCACGCAGGTAATGCATTACTAGTTTTCCCACTGTGGATAGAAAACGGATAAACAAAACATGACACTTAATTTTTATTTCACTTTTATTTTGCTGTTCCGATAAACAATTAATATTAATGACTGGAATATTACTAATTCTAGCAATCGGTTTCATTGCCAAAAACATTAACCAGCTGCCGTAAAAATCATTTTATTACATCAACACAATCAGTGTTCTTTATTGTAGGGTAATACTAGTATTAGACATACTAGATTAGTTTCATTCTTGCACAGCCATTTTTTGCCTCAGTCTCATATGAATTTCGATGATAATTGGTGAGCAGGCAAACTGAATATCAAATATTCCTTTATATTTATGCGTAAAGTTTTCTCTCGTTAAACGGAAAAGTAAAAATTGCATAGCGGAAATAAAAGCAGTAAACATATGCTAATTAATGGTTAAGTGTCTACACGCAATATAAAACGATAAACATTCCTGCAAAATATGTATATACTATTAATACTTGTAATTAAAAGTTACTCATACGCCACCGCGTAACCAAACCCCAACCACTCAAGTGCGCACATCGAAAAAAACAACTATGCATGTATAAAAACATATATATATATGGTATGAATATATGTATGTATGGTTGCAGAAGTTTACTCATTAATTTAGGCGCGAGTTTTTCAAAGCATAAAGAGAAGTGCTGGCAGACATATGTACCCACCAAGTAAAATGAGAAGCGAGAAGTTTTTGGAATGCTAGTAACGCCAAACAAAGTCGATTTAGCTAGTCGCGCCATTCTTGCTCACTTTATGTTTTGTATGTGTATACACGTTTCCAATGTGCGAGAGTATGAGCTGCATAGTTTACTTTGTGTAATCGACTGAAAATCACAATTTTATCAACTTGTCGCATTACCCGCTGAAACTTGTGTTACTAATTTAAGGCCATGGATGTCAGCAAGCCTCGTAAGCCAAGAGGCATTTACAACTTACATAAACTATTGAAAGCATAAAAAATGTATATCCAGTATGTTGGTATGTAAGCAATAAAAATTATTATTGATGTACGAATATTATATATTTTTAAAAAGTAAACTTCGCAGACAACAAATGTGTGTAGCAATATGTCGACTGTATATATACATATATGATAATTTCGTTCTGTAACAATTTTATCTTAGCCAAACTTTGCCAAAATTTTCGAGACTTCGAGGAGAATCTAATAATATTTTATCACCAAAACAAATTCGCAATATTTTGTTATCACACATCTTTTAGTTTGACCTCTCATTTTTGAAATTCCTTTTCAAAAGTATTCTCAAAATAAAATCTTCTTAAATCTCTTTCCTCTGACATTGTGATACACATGGATTTCAATAAACTGATGAACTAATTCGAACAAATGGCAACCCTCCTAAATAAAGCTCATGGATAAATCCCTTTCAAACCCATTTCTGTGTATACCCATCTTGTAATAATTTATCCAACTAACTGAATAATTTGAATGTAACTTTTTAAACACGTGGCGAAATGTTCAAACTAAATATTTCTTAACATTCTTTCGTTTGACTACGGTATTTATATATTTCATATTCTTTTTGAATTAATTAATTGAGCGAGCCCTTTCAAACAAGTGGCATCCCTCTTAAAGAGTATTTTTAAGCTTAATGATTGCTAGCCCTCCTTCCCCGGACACTGCGATACATATTTTTATTAACTGATGAATTAAGTGGAATTTTAATAAGAAACATGTGGCACACCCGCTAAATACAGTTCAGAAATAAAAAACATTTCATACCCCTACGATTGATACCCATATATTAATAATTCATTTAACTTAAAAAAAAAAAAAAACATTTGACTTTTCAAACGGGTGGCACCCCTCTTCCAAAACTTCAAAAATATTCTTGGCGTTCAAACAAAAGATTTCATAACACTCCCGTCGTTTGATATCCATATTTTGATATTTCGTATAACTTATGTATAAGTAAACTAAATTCGAAACTTCAAACGGGTGGCAACCCTTTTCAAAATATTTTTAAACTAATACTTTCTGAAACCCCTTTCGTTTGGCACCCATATGGTGATACATATTTCTCTTACCCAATATCATTTGTTCAGTTTGTAATAATTGATTTATTTTTTTAAATAATTTGAATATATTTTTTTTAAGTTTTCAACTTTTTTCAAAAAGTAAAACCGTATTGCACATCTACCGTCCAAGGCTTTTACTTTGACGCCCCATTTGGGAAAATCGAAGGAACGGTGCGGATTTGATGGCATCGATTATTAAATCATATGAATTTATTTTTTTCAACAGGTGGGAAATCTAGACCAGTTTGCACATCTATAGACCAAGCGCTTTAATCTGACATCTCATTTTTGAAAATCGGGTGAACGGTACAGATCTTTTATCCTGAACGAAAAATCACTTCGTGTATTATATATATAGATTATATGGTTTTAGATTTACAAGGCGCTTCTAGAAGATACCGGGGACCACAATTTAACCGTTAAAATTTGATTTTTATGTTCCCAATCAAGTTTAATAATTATTGTTTTCTCTTCTTTTCTTCGATCATATTACTGATATAACGGTTGTTTTCAGATTTAATGTTTTTACATCATGAAAAATTTCATAAGGTCATAAAAACGCAGTCTATATTATAAGGGTTAAAAATTATGGAAAAATGTTTAATCCAAAATGTCAACTATTTTTTATCTAAAAACTCACAAACCTCGAAATAGCGTTTAAATTTGACCGAAAAAATAAAAATTGAACGGGTGCTTTCCATTTCAAGACAACAGATCAGGTACCGGCATGATTTTTAATTTCGATGAAACTTTTTTGGTTCAAATAATAAGACCCTATTTTTTTTTGGCTCGAAAAAATTGTAAGTAACTTATTTTAGATAAAAATCGATATTTGGTGATTTTTCTTAAGTGCCCATAACTTTGTTAAAAAATAATGGACTTCAACCATTTTTTACTCAAATGTTAGTAATTGTTGACACTTCAAGCTAGAACGAAAAAATTATAGAATTTATTTATTTTTATTAAATTTTTTTCTAAATTATATATTGCAAAAACTATGCTTTTTTCTTTTAAACTTTTTCACAAGAAAATAGGTACTTTGAACTACAATGGATCTGAACCCTAGTAGCTAAATTGTTTTTTTCCGAAATATTATTTTTTCTTAGAAAATTATATTTTGGTTCTAATATCGATATAAATATTAGGGTACATCACTCTCCATAAAAAAATCTGTTTTTAGTTTTTATTTTATTTATAATATCTATTATATTTTGAGACATTCGCCATAATACTTCAGAAAATTATTATGACTTACGTGAGCTGGATCAATTTGAAAATACCTACAAAAATCAATTTTTTTATAAATAAAATTAGTTTAAAAAATTTTTATTAAAAAAATACACCTCAGATGAAAGAAATGTTTTAGCTAAAAAGGTCTACATCAAAAGTAGTAAAAAAATGTATTCTGGTGGTTTATTGGAATCAACCCAACTCACGTAAATCCTCACATTTTTCTGAAGTATTTTGGCAATGTTTATTTAAATGCACAAACAGCTTATCAAAACGACAAAAATGAAACGGAACGTGTGAATGCACAACTTCGTAAGCCAAAACCATCTTATAAAGTACGAATATTTCGTGCAATTCCATAAACATCGATTGTCGCGATGTAATGTGGAACGATTTTCCGCCATCCCTTGTCAAATGTGGTTTGGAGACAAACCAGTCTCGGCATTGTGCCATTTTCAGTGTCATTTTTCGTTCGAAATAGTTTCTGTGTGTCCCTCACTATTTACAGCCGTGCTAAATCGTCGTTGGTCCTTAGTTAGATACGTCTCAGCGGATTCGGTTCTTTCCATCAACCAGTTGTTTTTGTTCTATGTGTACATAAGAGTGGACCAAAAAAAAATTCCGAGATAGACTTTGGGGCACCCTTTATAATTTTTCCTCTTGCCGAAAGTGGTCCTGGTACCAAACCTTGCGTTTCTAAGTATCCAAGTAGAGGATGCTCATGATGCTCATATTTTACTCTGGAAGTATTGTGTACATATATCAATCAAACAATTGGTTAAGTATACTTCGAACATTTCAAATTTAAATTATCTATTAAAATATCATAAACTTCAGTTGTGATAACAACAATAGCTTTTTATAAAAATCACCAATATTTTTGCCAGTTTCACAGCGATCCAATAGCGCATTTCCAGTTCATTCAGCACCCTGTATTGGTTGCAGTAGAAAACTGTAAGCTGGTATAGGTATTACAAATATTAAAAGGAAAAAATTAAGAGGGTACCCCGTTTTCTAGAATGAAAAATTTTCCCCCCATACATAAATTTGACCGCTCTAGTGTACATCCTTAGGTAGAAATCAGCTGCTCACCTCCCTCTTCCTGATTAATTGTTGCATGGATCCGATTGTCGCCCTTGTTTTCCCTACGCATGGCGCATAGTCGCTAACACAACGCTGCCACTTGTCTAGACTAATGATCAACGCATCGAATGCTGCAGTGCGCTCGCCATGAAATTCGTGCAAATCTCAAAACACGATGCACATTTCACGCTCAAACACATTGCAAATGTTAAAATGACAAAGGCGATGACATGACTGTGGCGACAATGACGCCAGCCACAACAATAAGCGGCAGATACAACCAACCGCATATTAGCCAACAGGGTGTACAAGTAACTTTGTCGATAGATGGGATGGAGACATGGGCAGACAAACAAAAGTAAAATAAAGTGGAGCATTTTTATGTCGAATTTTATGGTTGAGCGCCAGTGATGTGTCATTGTCAGTTACAAGAAGTAACCAAAACGAAACGGGAAGAAAAATAATCAACAATGGAAATCGTAATTTCAGTGCAACTGCAACTGCATAAAAAATACTAATACCACAAGACGAGCAGTGAACAAACACAACAACAATGCTTAAGTGCGCCATTGTGTACTAAGTATGTATGTACAGCACTGCTTCTCAATTTCAACATATTTAATGAGTTCGTTAGCATTTATTTAGTTTGTAATGGTTGGGACATAATACAAGGAGTTTGCTGCATGTTCAATCATTTGCGCTTGCAATGGCAGACAGCTTATACATATGTATATATGTATGTATACTACTAATAAATGCATTTGTGTAAGTACTTACTAGTAATGTTATAGACAACATTGCTTAGAAATTAAGGGCTACTAACCAATGACTTAATTTTACAGCAAATTCTGTCTGAGTAGTTTTTATGAAAAACTAATATGTACTTTGGTATAAAATTTAGCTTTATAAAATCATACATACATATATATGTATTTGGTTCAACTAAATGGGACTTTCTGGCTGTCAGTTGGCTAACTTATGCTACCACATTTACCCAGCGTAATTCAGCCATGGCCCATATCTTCAGCACAAACCTTAAGGTCAGACGATTTGGGACCAACATGAACAACAAAAGTCATAGAAAAGTTGA